GGGCTCCGCCATGAGGAAGCTCGGCTTAAAGACACATCCCAGGAGCGTTTCTGGTACCAAAAGGCGTTCCTGGTCCCCACCTGTCATTTTGCTCCTCAGCATGGCTTCCTAAAAACGCTACAGGATTTCTCAAACACACATGAATGAGTCAAAGCAAGGCTTTGGGCATGTTTTTGATGACAGTATAACATTATAAAATGATATAAAACTCAAAGTTGATTTTACATGATATTACCCCTGTAAAACACTGTTTCTATGCTGGAAATACCAGGTAGAGCTCAATTATTGTTTGTTAGCAGGGCTCAGCTGCAGCAGTGAGACAACGAACGTGATGTTTAGTCAAAGTTCAACATGAATTATCAAAGTTAATTACACCTGGCCCTTGAGGGCCACCATAACGTTCATATGGCCCTCAGTGAAAATGAGTTTGACACCCTCATTTTAAATTTCTCTTCAGAAATGTTCTGATTTAGTTCCATCGCACTTAGCAGCACTTAGCCCGGATGTGATCCTGTTGGATCTGTATTCACCAGAGGCAAGGCTACATTAAATATCCAGTGATTTATTAGATTTATTAGCTCGGACAAGCTGCTGGTTCTCTGTCTCTTACTATAACCTGAGAGCAGACATTCACTCATCCATAATTAAGATAATGGATAAATTAAAAATGTACCTCCATACACTGTAGATGCACTGAGTCACAGTGGCCTCTGTGCGAATAAGACTTCATTAACGTTCTAATATTTAGTCGTTGACAGGGCTGTGAGCTTTATGTTTCATGTTGAAGCTCTGCTTCAGGTTTATTTGGTGGATTTAGTGTCAGAGCCTCTTTTTTTGAAGCAGAGGCTTCAGTGCTTCTTATTAGCTACATCAATTAGCTGAGTTTTCTAAAGTTCTAAGCAGACTTGGTGGACTTGGTAACTGTAGATCCTGAGCCCTCGGAGAACATCCCTGCTGCTTGGCTTTGATGGGGGTTAATTTTGTATACAGACTCAAGTTATATCCCTTCACTTTAAATTTGACTTTACTCCGCTCCCCTGCCACTGATTGATAATCCTGGCTTGTCCATGTGTGAGAGATCCCTTACTATAATCTCTGTCCTTTGATCATTAAAAGTTGAAAGGATATATGGGAAAGAGGCTGATAAAGTGATTTCTGTGACAGAGGGTCGATGGAATAGCAGTGCTTTAAGTCATCCTGTTTGTCTTAGAAGGGCTGTGCTCTTAATAGTGATGTCCCCTGTGACTGATGCAACAGCTCCACACTCGGTGCAACAACCAACGCAGGCCATGTTTGACTGTAAACGATCCTGGGAAAATAAAAAAAAGTCCATCAATTAAATGGTCCAAAATGTTTTGTCTGATGAAAATGCAGATGTGGCGAGCTGCAACGTTGCGAGCAGGATTTCAACAAATTGCAAAAGTTCGGGGTTCCTTGATGAGCGTTTTGTTTTTCAGTGGCCTGCCGGCTCGGAGTTCGCTGCCTTTCCGTGGCGTCTGGCAAAAGTTTAAACCTCTTTGGCTCCAACTTCTTATAAAAAGTCACTTCAGTCAGTGCCCATACTGGAGAAGGGATCCAATTGGGTTCCACACAGAAGTCTTAAGATGAGTGGATGAAAGCTGTGGGAGAAAAGTTTGTGCAGCAAAGCAGCGATTTTCTTCCTCTTTTCGAGTTTTGAAGGGCTGTGGTGTGTGTGTGTGTTTTAGTGTTTGTGCGTGTGTGTGTGTGTGTTTTAGTGCGTGTGTGTGTGTGTGTGTGTGTGCGCGCGTGTGGCTCCACATCTTGCCTCCCCCCTTGTCAAGGAGCTCCCCTGAGTTTCCCTCTCTGTGCTTTGGCACTAGAAGTCACCTCCTTTGGTGTTCGGCAGGCAGGTACACAACAGGAGCAGCTCTCTCTCTCTGAGCTGTTGAACTTTTCGGGAGGGGAAGAAAGGGAAGGGGAAGATTAAAAACAGCCCTGTGATGTGGAGTGCCGAGCTGCCTCCTGAGAATTCCTGGCATAATAATTTAAATGATCAAATGATACAGAGGAGACTTGTTAGCTGAGAAACAGCCTCCTAGTTGGCCCCATGGGCCCTGTGCTGCCGCGCATGCATTGCAAAACAGCTCCTCTGTTGTGCTAAAGAATCCCTCTTTTTTTTTCACCTCCTTTTCAGGAGTGCACTTTTTCTACACTTTACCTAGGTGTGTACTTGGCACTTCTGTCACATATTTATTATAATCTTTTTGTCTTATTTTGCCATTTATCAGCACGATAGAAGACTAATTAGATTTGATTTTCAAACACGTGGGTCTGAGCAGAATTTGTGTCATTAGGTCCAAGCCTGTGAAATTTTCAAAGGCGACTGTGAGAAAAGTCTAAGAGTCACTCTTTGGAAACAAGTCTCTGTGGAATAGTCTGTAATGCAGAAAACTCTGTAATGTGCTTTACACAGCACGCACCGTAAAACTGCTATTTTGCTTTTTTTGAAAAGTAGCAGTCTGTGTCGATTATGTGAGCCCTGGTAGGTTTTATTTTTTTCTTCCTTATTTTCATTCCTGCAGAGATTTGTTTGTGCTTCTGTTTGCACAGATCCAGCTCCGGTGCTGGAGGCCTCGCACTCCCTGGAGGAACGGCTGCAGCAGCTTCAGAGGTCGGCCCCGGACAGCGAGGCCCTGGTGCGGGAGATCAGCGGGCACTGGAAGAAACACCTGGACTGCCTTGAAGAGAAAGGTCAGTCCAAATCATTCATTTCAGGGAGCGTTCGAGTGGCTGCTTCAGTACAAACCTGACACAGCTCCAGTAAGCGTGCTGCTGGACGGGGGAGGATATCCCAGCACTTGATAAAAACCGTGGCAGGTTGTTTCCTCCACACAGAGCCTACAGAGGAGGGTCCAGCAGATGCAGCTGTGACGGAGGAGACTTCAGAGTCCCTGATGACCCCTAGCAGTACATCGGCCCCTGGGGCCCCGGGCTCCCCTCAGCAGAACCACCAGGACCGAGCTGAGGACCGACGGTGAGAACCAGAAACTTCTTATGATCATGCTTGATTTACGGAAACAACTGTTCTTTTCTTCATATTAATGTGACAATTACCGTATTTATTCAAGTATAATACATAAAATTTAATCCATAAAATCATCCATAAAGTTGGGGGGTAGTACTATACTCGGATAAGTATTTTTACTTATGTATTTTAACTGAAATATCTGCTTCATTCACAAAATTATTGAGTCCGGAAATGAGACTGCGTTGTAAAAAKCAGTTGAAACAAGCTCACCTGTGACACTCCTCTGTGCTTCAGAGCGAGATAATAACAGATCCAAGCAGGCGACATGATGTGATATAAAGAGGGGGGGAGTATTCCTGCACGTTAATAATGATAAGAACAAATGACATTAGCATGTCACTGAGCTACTCCTCGAACAGCAACAAACACACATGTTCATCTGTAATGGCTGCCGTCTACCGGTGTTCTGAAAAAGTTTGTATCCCTGAAAAAGCGTCTCCCCACCAGAGGGGGCGCTTGCGAGTAGGAAGTAATCTGTTTTTCCCCTCAGAAGGTTTGATTTGATTTGATTTTGATTTATTTATTTAACAGGAAAAGATTATTAAAAATCAAGCCTGACTCAGCATAATTGCTGTTTTACAGCAGGTTCCTGTTCTGCAGCACAAAAAACACTCAGGATTGCAGCATCACAATCACATCATTTTACATCATAGACACAAAGACAAACAAGCATACCAAATTTCAAAAAGGCAGCATTTGCAAAAAAGGACGTCTAAATATGAGCACAACAAAAAGTGTCCAGCAGATGGCAGACAAGATTMTTCTTAAAGGGCTGTAGTTTTGAAATGGACTTTATGTTTTGAGGAATGTCATTCCATGCTTTAGTATAAACATAGAAGAAAGACCTCTGGCCGTAACAGTTTTTAAAAGTTGGTAATATCAGTTGTCCTTTTGTAACAGATCTAGTTGAATGACCACTTCCAGAATTGAAAAGAAGAAGAAAAGATGGTTCAAATCTCATGTGAAGTCTCTGACTTTTGTGTTGGCGCATCCTGGTGGACTATGTGTAAAATGCCAGAATTCATATAATGCTCAAAATCATAGTTTGCTGATATGTATTTGTTGTCAAAATACCTTTTAGTACATATGTTGTTAAAATAAAATGAACAGTGCAATGATGATTTTACTGATATGTATAAAGACTGCAAAGGCTGTAAAATCTTGAAGTCTTATGAAATTGGAGGTAGTTTGAGGATTAAATTTTTTTTGCTTTTTAGGCTAAAAAAAGGGGGGGGGGTCGTATTATACATGACATCGTATTATACACAAATAAATACAGTATTTGTCTTGTCTGGTCCTGTTGGATCAGGATGCTTTATTTTCTTCACCCAACTGCATCTGCTTTAATCTAATCTTTTAGTCAACAGTAGAAACTCCAGTTGCACAAAAAATAAACCCATGTTATTTACAACCACAAGCAAAAAATGCATGTTATAATCCCTATTTGATCTTCGTTTAGTTGTTTTTGTCTTGTAGAGGTAAAATCTTAAAAAACACAATCCTAATTATTTTAACAGCTGAGAATTGTGGCTTTGTAAAACATACCAAACATGAAATGCCTATCATTTCTTTAAGACATGCATGTTTCCCACAATTATGCCAGATTTTTAAAAGAAAATGATCTTTTTTATGTTGAGAAATGACAATAATAGTATGAGCAACAAAACTGTGYGACCCTGCGACTCTCAGCTGCTGCCACACCAAATATTCACTCCATATTTGCAACATTAACAGAATTTTAGCCATGTATGTGTTTTCTAAAATAAGTTAGCTGTGGCAGCCATCCAGAATTGGGTTGACTCCAAAACTGAATCAGCTGTAGATGTGCTTTTATTGATTATTGTCTGAGAGTTTCATTAAAACCAGTCCAGTGGTTCATTAAATATTTTGCTAACAGAAACACTGACAAGAGGAATTACACGATTGCCTTCCTTTCATGGCATAAAAAAAATTAGATACAGCTTTATTTACCAAACGCTTCAGTCCTGACCACATGAGCGTCTGACACGCACAGCTTATAATCGCTCATTAATGAATTTATTTAGTGAACTCTCATCACACGAGGCCTCGCTATGAGGGAGGAGGTGGCTGGCCTTTGCATATTTTGTTCAGCCTAGAGGCCTTTTTATTGTAGCTTTAAATGTGTGCCCGTGATGTAGAGAAGGAACTGACAGTTTGTTCTCGTAGGGGGGAGGAGGAGGAGGAGGAGGAGTGYGCTGATGTTAGTTTGTCTGACAGACTATCAGAGGCCGAGGAGAAGATCAAAGTTCTGCATTCATGTAAGTGCTTTTAACACTGGAAACACTGCAGCCGTTAAACTGAATTTGGACTTATTAAAAAGTAACTTCTTGTTGAATTTGCTTCATGGTGCCCCCCCGCTGAGACACCCCTCTACCGCCAGTGCTCCTTACACAAATAAAATTTGAAACATGGTCGCTTTATTTTAAATTTCACTTCAGATATCCCTATCTTTGTGTCGTTATTTGTTTAACTAATTGTTTGAGTTGTATTTAAGCCAGAAACAGTAATTTTTCTTGAAAAGCTGTTGAATTATTCAGGTAAATGATTCTGTGATGCAGCTTTAAGGTGAAAGTTCATGTGTTTGAAGTTAATGTCTCACTTCTTGTGGTTTGTCTCTCTCTCACCAGCTCTGAACACTGCTCAGACAGAGCTGCWGGACCTGAGGTGTAAATACAAGCTGGAGATGGCAAAAAAGTAAGAAGCTCCCTCGTTCTACTCTTTTTTCAAACCGTAACAAGGTCCTTCCTGCACGGCTCCGCCTCCAGCAGCCATGAAGCTCTTAACGTAGCCTCCGTCACTAATGCAGCATCTGAAGTGTGCATTAGTGACGAAACGCTGCCCTTGTTCTGCCTGCATACAGCCAGGTCCAGCGCGGAGCGGGGGAATGCCACTGTGAAGGCTGAGAGTGACTCAGCCACTAATGCAGGTCGATGAGAGAGCTCTGTGTTTGCCTGCGCTGGCAGCTGGGCCTTGACAGCCCTCAAGAAGAATTGCTCCATTTAAAGATTGCTTCAGAAAACACTCTACCTTGTCCTGGTCTTTGAGCGCAATGTATCCACCGCACGCCTGAAATGAATCTGAGCTTGTATGAAGGATGTCGATAGACATTCAAAGTAAACACTCCTTTGTTTGGGTTGTGCTCCAGAGCACAGTCAGCCGCTGCTAATGGATTTTCTCCCAGGCTTAATCCATGGCGCAATTGAACTGATGTTTCTAGAGCCACCGCCATCTATTTTGCTGAGGCTGGACGCATTTTTTTTCCAGTTCAGGTTTGAGCCGTTCTAGACGGAGCGGCGGTTTCCGTTATCTGGTTCGACTCGCGCATCGTGTGCACGGCTCTGATCACATTCTTGGAGGCTGACGGCAGCAGCGCTGACCCCACAGCTTCATTTGCAGTTTTTCTTCCCTGACCTGGAGGCTGTGAGSCTGTAACTCTTACTGACTAAAATAAGACTATTTGTCTCTTTGACGTGAGTGTCCGAGGTGATGATCGATACAAAACATTTCCCCCACAACACCTGTTAGTGTTTGCTGTCAGGGGGAGCCATCTGTCCCAGTCTGTAGATGTGGCCAGGGCACGGCCTAAACCATCAGAAAGTAAGACTTATTAACACGAGTCACTAAAAATACGACCTCTTTCTTTGTTTTCTTTGGATCATCTCACTTAGTTAAACCTCTCCTGATGGGTGTAAACATGAAAGACACTGAAGGTTTCACTGAATGCTGTTTAATCTGCATATTAAAAGTCTAATGTGTTCTTTGAGCACTTTTTCCCCCTCGTTTTGTCAAAAAATAAAATAAAAATAAAACAATCCTGTCCTGAAACTTCAGACACCTGTTCGCATATTTAAAACAATCACAGCATCCTTGTTTTTTCATCCTTATCTACCGTTGGAACACTCAGATCCCATGTGAGCAAAATGAAACTGTTGAACTTCAAACAAACCTCATGAATAATCCCACTCAGCTTCTGTTTTAAATGAGACGACTGTGATTGTTAGATGTGAGAAAGGAAGCTGGAGTTCAGCCTTTACAGTTTTCAGAAGACAAGTCAGTCAGGCATTCACGTTCAACTCAACCGACTAGTTCAGAAATCATTCAGGACACACAAGTCTGTCATCAACCTGCAGGGGTTGTTTGATTTGATCCAGTGTATTTCTGCTTTTTGTTAATCAGTGTGCATTGCCAATGCAATGCACACTATTGTGATTTGTTTCCCATCCAAGTCATCTCAATTTTGCCATGCTTCTCCTCCTGCATACTTTGTCCTAGAGCTGCCATTGTAATTTATATCTGTAAAGGTCCTGTGCCAAATGATGGCTATGSCTTTTGGTGCCTGTAAAACTTATAGTTTATGAGATAATAATGTTTAATGAATTATAATGGCAGTCATTGGAGCCTTGTATTGGTCCAATACTGCCACATGCTGTACTCAACTTGGTACTGCACCATAGTTTAATATTTCAACTCAGTAGTTCAGTGTTTACAGTACTAAAATGATTGTATTTTGATGTTTTACTATAATATTATCTTAATACTGCTCGATTGTTGTAATATTATGCATTTTTGTGTCAATAATTGTATTGGCAATGTGGCCTCTTTCTGTACACATACAAACCAACCCGTGCCAGCAGCTTCTGGCACAGCTCCATTGGTCTAATGGTCTATGTCATGGACTTTCATGTGGGAGATCAAGGTTCAAAACCCAGCTAATTCAACTTTAACAAAAAATCTCTTCAAATTTCATATTGTCACACAATTACCTTAATTACAAACGCCTGCTGATGTGGCAGGCGCAAGCTGGTATAGAAAACACATTTGAACTTGGTCAAAGTTCTTTCTGCAAGTCCAATGCTGCAGGTAAAGCCATGCTGCAATGACATGCTACATGGCAATGCACACTTGTTTTTACATCGTAAAAACCCATGTCTAGTTATCCAGTTGTGTTTTTCCCTGTTGTTACATTTGGATATATTTGGATAGATTCCTGTTTTTAATGCTTCCTCCCTCTGTCATCAGATTTTTCCCTTCAGTCATCCTCAGTCCACTCAGCTGTTCTCACTCAGTAATCACTGCACATTCACTCAGTGTTAGATCAAACTGTGGCCTCCCTGTGGTCCTGTGGGTGGATCTTTTCATCCTTGTTTCTCCTGACCCTCCTTCTTACTGTATTATTTGTTTTTGGAAGTTAGCATTTTGCTGCCAAACCAGCTCGTGTTATTTTACTCCTCTGACCCGGAGTTTACATTTTGTGGCTCCATACCTCTCCCCTCATGACATGATCAGTATTGCTCTTAAATATTTTATTTATTTTATTTTTTTGGTTTAAAACCCCAACATGATGGAGTGTCAGTCATGCTGTATGAGTTTATTTGACAAGGACAGCACAGAAGAACAAGTTAGCATGTTAGGACAATGCCATGCTGTTTTGTACAGAGGTTGACTAGCTAAATGCTAATTTGCACACCTGATCCTCCACTGAGATAATTTTAATAATAATAACAA